CTGTTAAAACTACAAATTTAGACATCTTAAAAAAGATTGAGAAGTTTAAACATTTGCATTCTCTTTTCTTGTTCTATGAAGATTCTAATCAGGATCTTTGCAGTGCACTTATTAAAATATTCAAAGCATCAAGATGTTTGCGCTTATTATACATAGATACTCATGAATTGAAAATGATACCTGAAGAGATTAGATATTTGAAACATCTTCGATATTTAGAGATCAGAAGAGTTGATGTCACTAGGCTACCAAGATCTCTAAGTAACCTCTATCACTTGCAATACATAATATATGAAGGATGGGTAAAGTCAACCCGACCTGAAATTGATGATGTTTTACCAATTGACATTAAAAGTTTTTCTAACTTGCGTTTCGTGAAATTGTCTGGATATTTTATTTCATCGATATGTGGGATTGGGAAGCTAAACTCTCTTGACGAAATGGAAATGTTTGATCTTAGAAATGAGATGGGTTGTAGAATTGATGAGTTAAAGTTTCTGAATAAGCTTCGCAAATTAGGCATCAATTGCCTTGAAAATTTGAAGGACGCCGAGGAGGCTCTTAATGCCCAATTATGTGAAAAGAGGAGGCTCACAGATTTGACCTTATGTTGGAGTGACACTGATTCGAAGAATATCGATTTAAATCAGAACGTGCTTGACAACCTTCAGCCACCAAAATGTCTAAGAAATCTGAACATAAAGAGATACATGGGTGCAAGGTCTGCAATATGGATGAGCAATGTCAATCTGCTCTCCAATATAAAAAAAATTGAAGAAATCGAATTGTCAGATTGCATGGAATGGGAAACTCTTCCACCTTTTGGGCAACTTCCCTTTCTCAAGTCTCTGAGACTTTCTAACATGCCGAAAGTAAAATGGCTCGAAAGTAAATTTAATGAGAATGATAAATACCGTGCCTTTCCATTGCTAGAGGTGTTATATATTAGCGGATTAGAAGCATTAGAAGATTGGCTTGAGGCAGGAATAACTGCTGAAGATGGATGTTTGTTTCCTTGCTTAATTGAACTGAACCTATATCACTGTCCGAAGTTGAAAGAGTTGCCCTCTTTGCCTTCTAAGCTCATGAGGTTGGAGATATATAACATTGGGTGGACTACTTTGAATTTTTGTAGCAATTCAAATCCTATTCCCCTTGAATCATTATCGATCTTTCGCTGTCCTAACATTACATCTCTTCCTCTGGCTGATGAAGTATCAAGGCTTGCAGGACTAAGATTCTTGATAATTAAAAATTGCCCCAATCTGGTATCTCTGGGAAGACATCGAGAAGTGGAGGCCACTAATAATTGCCATCTCATGCTCCGCAATCTCTGGATAAGTGATCCATCGGTGTTGCTAATGGAGCCATTGAGAAGTATCGCCTCCTTAAAAAGGCTGTTTATTACGGATAATGATGAGCTGGTTTCATTTCCAAATGAGGCGGAGCAGTGGTTGCTGAAAGTTGGGTCTTCTCTTTATGAGCTGCAATTTGGAGGGCTCAAATCCTTACAGTCTCTTCCTTCCTCCTTGGAAAGCTTATCTTCACTTCATGAACTATGTATTGATTATGGCGTTCCTATGCTTCGGGAATTACCGAACCTTCCTCCCTCTTTGGAAAGTCTATCAATTAAGGGATGTCATCCAGAGCTACATGAGCGCTATCGAGGGGATGGAGGCTCCGATCGGCACAAGATTGCTCACATTCCTTGTATCAATATTCCTCCCTGATAATAGGTCCAACTACTTTAATGAAAATTTCAAAATACATGAGCAATTTTCTTTCTTCTTATCTTACTTGTTTGATATATATATATATATGAAATGTGAAGAATGTAATGTCAGCATAAACCAATTTCTATCAATCGATCCTTTATATATAAATATATTCTTCTTTTAATATTTCATTACATATTTAGCTAGATTTTTTATTTTGATCATTTCTTTTGTTCCTTTATATATAAATATTTTCTTCTTTGAAATCTAAATAGTTGTGTCAAAATTCTATTCTTTTGGTTTTTTTTTCTTATTGATTTGTCGAAATGAAGTGATCATTGAATTATCATTTAATTTTGATTTTATATTTTTGAGTTTGCAAAAATACAATAAATTTTGAATGATCTGCCAGCTATAATCTATGAATTTTTTCCTTTTTTTTGTAATCTATATTTATAATATTCCACTAAGCCATCATTAAAATTTATGCAGTTTCATCAACCTTCTCATTAATTTTCTTTATTGATTTATTTATTTTTTAGACACATTCTATCTCATTAGTATTTTTTAATGATGGTACTGGGAACTAACAAAAAAATATATATATTTTATTGAGATATTTTTATAGCTATTAAATTTATTTTGAGATAAATATATTATCAAATTAGCCTCCCATTGAATTCAGTTGCTTATTAATAAGATTTGCTGGTCAAAACCCTATCCACTACGTATCTTCTAATGATTTTTTTTAGAATGGCTATAGGTGTTCATATATAGGGATTTAATCTTTAAAAGCTGTTGGTTAAGCTATATAAGTGATACGTCATGCAAAAATTATCGGGCATGAATCTCGAGGCAAAAGGTTAGTCGGAAACTTCAAAAATTAAATCCGGGATCATCTGAACTCTGATTTCAGCAAACTTACAGTCAAACTGAGCGTCTCGGAAATACGAACCCAACGACACCAAATTCAACCCAATCCGAGCCCAAATGGGCCCAAATCAAGGACCCGAAGCGCTGTTAGAAGGTTCAAACCACAATTTGAGTTACCAAATGGTCTCCGATTTTAACGAGCTTATACTCGAATCGAGCGGCTTGACAAGACGAATCCAACGAGCCCAAGATAGACGAATTCCGGCATCACTAAGGCCTTCAAATGTCCAACGAACGGTGCATGATCGTAGGATTCAATATCAGCCGTCCATCCAATCACTCCCCATTTACCCTTGATATCTCACCTATTTACGGGGCATGCCACTCTAGAAAATCTATAAATATACCCCTCATTTCTCTTGAAAGGGGACCCAAACAAGAAGAGGAGAGGAGAAGAGAAAGAAGAAGAGAAGGAAGAGAAGGAAGAGAAGGAAGAAGCTCCTCCTCGACCACCACTGGAACTTCGCCGGACCACCACCAGAGCCTCGCCGGGCCACCACTGGAGCCTCACCGGACCACCGCCATTGCCTCGCGGGACTACCGCCGGAGCTTCGCCGCACCACCACCTGAGGCCCTCACCTTCACCTAAGGCCCTAACCTTCGCTAGAGGCCCTCACCTTCACCTGAGGCCCTCACCTTCGTCAAAGGCCCTCACCTTCACCTGAGGCCCTCACCTTTGCCAGAGGCCCTTGCCTTCGCCATATCATCATCAAAGGCCATGTGCTCCACCAGAACACCACATGAGGCCCTCACCCTCGCCAGAACGTCGCCGGACCACCGCTGGAGCCTCGTTGGACCACCGTCGGACCCTCGCCGGACCCCGCCGAAGCCTCGCCGGACCACTGCCAAAGCTTCACCGGACCACCACCTGAGGCCCTCACCTTCGCCACAACACCACCTGAGGCCCGGACTTCTGCTGGGCCACTACCTGACACCTAGAGTTCTACCAGAGTACCGCCCTACTACAACGATCTTTCAAACCCCGGTCTCTTGCCGACTACGGTCCTCCCGACCTCCGTCGCCTACTATGGTCACTCCGACCTCCATCACCAAACAATGGTCTTTCAGACCCCGGTCTCCTGCCGACTACGGTCCTCCCAACCTCCGTCCCCTACTATGGTCCTTCCGACCTCCATCACCAGACAACGGTCTTTTTGA